TTGTGTTTTCCAGTCTAGCCTGTTGGGGCACCATGCCCTGTCTCCAATGTCCACCCTCATCATTCCCTGGGGATCTTTCTACTCCCCTCCCCTGCTGTTCCGTTGCACCCTGCCCCCCTGCCCCCCAGTGCCTTGCCTCGGCATGGCGGGGTCAGATCAGGCGCAATTCCCACACTGTGTCCCTGGTGTTGACCCCCGCATGGAGAAAAAGTTTTATTGACATACAGTTCACATATAATTCAACGATTTAATCATATTAAAAAGAATTGTGTAATCATCACCACAATTTTAGAACATTTTCTTCTTTCTTGTATTTATATTAGTTCCTCCATTTCCCCAAAACCTGCTCTGCCATAACCCTAAGAAATGATAATCCAGTTACTGTCTCCATAGCTTTATCTATTCTGGATTTCATATACAGAAGAATTACCCCTCCCACCCACCAACCCCTAAAACAGACAAAAAATACAAGAGAAAATCCTGAAATTAAAAGAAAGTTGAAAACTCAAACAAATTTTAAATGGATCAAAAGGGAGAATGAATGATAAAGGGTTAAAGTGTAACCTAACTAAATTTGCATTAATTCACTTTCCAATGTACTCTGTCTGAGGGCAAGGCTATTCACATGCTGGGTCATGGTCAGACAGGACTGACCAGAGGTTTCATCCACGTGAGGACCTGCACATGGATGGGCTTCACTGTCATCCATAGCCTTCTGCAAACTGGGGCTCAGAATGGAAGCTGTGATTTACGATGTAATGCAGGGATTAAGCTCTAATCCCTGCCCCAGCCTTGCATTTCATTATTTATAACCCTTGGATCACACAGGCTAGGGTGCTTCCTCTGTGTGGACTTAGTTGACACCTCGCTTAGATAGCTGCTTATTTTAAGACAAGCCTTTAAGACCCCAGGTGCTATTCTTTCTGATAATCAGGCGCCATCTAATTCCTTCACCATACTTTGCTAAAGCACCCATAGTTTCATTGATCTCTTCAAAAGGTCAAATATGGAGTAGGGCCACATTGTTAGAACTGATTATTCTTAGATTAGGGATGCAATGAAGTATGAGTTAAAAATCCATTCATGTATTTATGGCTTATAGATGTCCCTGGTTCACTTTAGAGACATCCTTATATTTGGAGGGATTCTGAGAACTCATCCACAGAGGACATATGATAAATCTATTGATAGTATTATACATTTAGCCAGTGATATACAGTTTAAATTACTGCTAAGAAAAGGAAAGTATATGTGTGTGGGACAGCTTTTTAGACTAAAAAACATGGATTGTTGTTTAAAAACTCTTATTCACAAAAGTAGAACTATACCTGCTAGAATATAACTATGTCATCTTTTTAAAGACATATCATCAAAAAGCAGAGAACGTATGAGAAGTTGTGTTTTGAATACAAGAAATTGATCCTTTAAGAAGTGTCATTCTCCTTGATGCCAGTTGAAATATGAATAATGCTATGGATGACAGTTGGAGGCCAAAATCCATTCCCAGGATCCACACATGGATTAAGCTTCCAGTGAATTCACTCTGGCCACAAACCAGATATGTGAATACCCTTGCTGTCATGCAGAGTGCAATGTTTGTGCTTTGTTTTGTTTTCTATGTTTTCTGTAGCTGAAATTCAGGGTGGACAGCGACAGAGACAGTGACTGCACTGATGGGGTCTTGAGGGGTGGGGCACAGGAGGTAGCAAGGACGTGGGGAGCTGATGACAAAAGACACAAGAGGGAAATAAATGTTCTCATTGATTTTGGAGATGACTATACAGCTCATATTAACATGATAGAAATATTTAATTGCATATGTGAAATATGTCAATAAAACTAAAAAATAAAAGGAAAAAGAAATATGAAGAAGACTTTAGTGATGTGAATTTAACAAAGAAATTCAGACAAACACACACAATTGATGGACATATTTAATTATAGGAAGTTATAAAATAATTTCATAGAGAATTATTATGATAAAAACTGCAACTATTTAAGGTAGCAGATGGACATTGGGCCTCCACTAAAGTACTCCCTCAATGCAAGAA